CGCTCTGATCGACATCATCCGCTGGTAGTATTGTCTATGATTCCAGACCAAAATGGAATGAGTGACCGAGCCGCCTGCGGACCGGATTTCGTCGGAGTTTGATGATCCGTGCGATCGCTGTCAGCGTTGATTCGCAGGACTTAACAGGAGAACGCGATTGACTAATCCAGCAGCGGCGATCGAAGCTCGCCAGATGTGGCAGGCTCACTCTGTCCAGTGGATTCTGCAGGACATCAGCTTTCAGGTAAATCCTGGCGAGCTGGCGGTCCTGACCGGTGTGAACGGCGTGGGGAAGACTACGCTGCTGGAAACCATTGCCGGGGTGAAATCACCGCTGCGCGGCGAAGTGAGCGTGAATGGCCACGCGCGGCGGAAGACCGTCGAGGCGGAAAAGGCGGCGCGCCTTTGCTCGCTGTATCTGCCCAGCGACGTGTATCTGCCGGCAGAGATGACCGTGCAGGAATATCTGGAGGCGGCGTCTTCGCTGTACTGTGAAGAGGAAGCAGAAGCGATCGATCGCATTGAATCGCTGCTAGATCTGTTCGCTCTGACAAACTCGCAGCGTCAGCAGACGGTGTCGCTGTCCGACGGGCAGAAGAAGAAGCTGGGGTTAATCTCGGCACTGATTGCAGATCGTGATGTCCTGCTGCTTGATGAGCCATTCTCGGGCGGACTGGATCCGGCCGGCATTCTGGCGGTGAAGCGACTGCTGCGGCGGCGTGCCGACCGCGGGCAGACGATTCTGATGACCACGCCTGTGACCGAACTGGTTGCCGAAGTTGCCGATCGACTGCTTGTCCTGCGAGACAGTCGACTGGTCCACAATCTGACGCGCGACGAAATTCTGGCGTCCGTCGATGACGGATCCAGCGTGGTGGAATCGCTGGAAGAGCTGGTGTTTCCTGACGTGCACCATCGAGTCGACGCGTTTCTGGATTCGATGCCGTCGGTCAGGAGTTCATCGTGAAACGTACTGTGCGCACGATGGTCGGCAGTTTGTTCTGGATCGTGTTTCCGCTGGTGATGTGCTGTGTCCTGCTGACTCCGTTTTTCTTAATACCGGAGCAGGTGGAGTTTCGTCGCGAACTCTGGACGAATCTTGTACGGCTGCAGCAGGTCGTGGTCTGCGCGCTCGGATTCGTAGCAGGAGTGGCGTTCTGCTCACTGCAACTGGCCGCCAATCATCCGTGGGCGTCACAGGAACTGTCAGACTGGTTGTGTCGAGCCGCGTGGGATGGGCGACGTCGTCTTCGCAATCTTGCGATCCATCTTGAGCCGCTGGAGTGTCTCTGCGTGGCCGGGATGGTGCTGGTGGAATCGGTGATGGCGGGCGGGCTGTCCGTGTCGGCGCTGTTCGGCTGGGCACTGCGGAGAATCGGTCTGCTGTCATTCAAACCACAGATCATTGACCGTCGCTGTCTGGTCGTGTGGATGGCGGCTGTGGGCAGCCTGGCGCTGCTGGTGGTGTCTGTTCCAGTGGCGGCTGGAGTGATCGTAGCAGCGATCTGGCTGCTGGAACGGGCGCATCGAGAGGCGCTGGTGAGGTGGGCAGAACAGTCTGTGACGATGTCAGTGGATTTGCCTTTGACGCCGGACGGTCCGCCGGATGAAGTGGCGAACGAGTTCGCACAGTCGATGCGGCAGTCTTTCGGAACCGTCTCGACCCGCCAGCTGGATCCGCGGGTCGCTCAGGTCTCTGAGTTTACCGACCGGCGGCCTGACGTACAAACCTCGTTGTGGATCTCTCTGCTGGTCGCGTTTGTGCCGTTGCTGCCGGCCTGGTCGGTTGCCTCACTGCCCGCACCGGCCGGAAAGATACCGACGTTTGACGAACTGGCATTGGGTGCCACTTTTCTTGTCAGCGGAATCACGATCGTATTCCTGCTGGCCAGACGCTGCTCATGGTATGCGCTGGGCACCTGGTATCCGGCCCGCGGGTATCGCCGCCGACTGGCGGAACGGCGCATCTTCGACTGGGCGTTCGACTGCTGTCTGCTGGCGCTGCCGGCTGCCATGCTGCCCGTTTTTCTGCTGCCGGTTCATCTGCTGGTGATAGGAGAGTGGAATCCGTGGCTGGTTTCTGCGGCCGCCGCCTCTACTATGTTTTTACTGCAGCGTCTGGGACCGGATCCGGTGCGCTGGCAGCTGACCTCCCCGGCGCGGATGATTCAAATGTCGCCCACGGCAGCGGACCGCGCCGTCGAAAACCGGCGTCGACGCCGAAAGCAGCGAACCTGACAGTTGGTCCAGACGTCCCGAACATCGCAGCCGTACTCAGCTGCGACGCTGTAGGCCACTGGACAATCCGGCCACACGACGAACAATAGGGTCGATGAGCGTGATTCGGGAATTCTATCAGCAGCTGTTTGACAGTGGTCAGGTTGGCCTGACATCAAGCGCACCAGCCACCGACAAGGAACTGGAAGATGTCGTCGAGCTGCTGATGGCGCTGGAAGTTGCCCAGCGTGAGCATCTGCCGGTGGACCCGCCGGCGACGGATCGCCCGAGTGTCGCCTGGGCGGCCGCCATGTTTTATGGGGCGGCTCAGCTGACCGTGTATCGCGAACTGGGTGAGTCGGAAATCGATCTGCGGCTGACGAAAGAGCTGACGACGTCCGCTCATCCGGCGTCGACTGTTTACTCCGTCGATCTGGTTTTTCGTCGGCTGCCCGATCTGGTGCGGATCGTCCGTGGGATCAATGCGGAGGATGCGCTGCTGAGCGTCCTCCTGGAATGGTGCCGCTGCTGGCCGCTGTCGTCGGTGGGGGTTTCCGATGTGGGTGAGATTGACATTGAACCCATTCTGGGTGATCGTTGTCTCGCACTGATGTATACCGACCGTGTTCTGGACAGGGGTGATGTGGCGCGCAGCCGTCATCCTGGAATGGCGGAATGGATTCGTGGAGCCGTTGGCGCGTGGCCGGAGCTGAGCCCCGAGGTGCGGGCGGACTGGACCAGCGACAATGAAGGCTGATCAGCAGATGATCGATTCCAATACCGCAGAAGCGGTGAAACTCTCCGAACGGCTGGTGGAACGCGTCCTGGTGCCGATCAAGGCGGAGTTCGTTGGCAAAGATGAAATCGTTGACCTGATGGGAGTGTGTCTCGTCGGCGGCGAGCATCTGTTCCTGTATGGGCCTCCGGGCACCGCCAAGAGCGCCCTCGTGCAGCGTCTGGGTCAGCGGCTGCATGGTCCTGTCTTCGACTATCTGCTCACGCGTTTCACTGAGCCCAATGAACTGTTTGGCCCTTTCGATATTCGGCGGCTGCGCGAGGGCGACCTGGTGACGAATACTGAAGGCATGCTGCCGGAAGCGTCACTCGTGTTTCTGGATGAACTCCTGAACGCGAACAGCGCGATCTTGAACAGCCTGCTGATGGCGTTGAACGAACGCGTATTCCGGCGAGGGCGGGAAACGCGTCGACTGCCGCTGCTGATGGCGGTGGGAGCCAGCAATCATCTGCCGGAAGACGAAGCGCTGCGGGCGCTGTTCGATCGGTTTTTGGTGCGAGTGCGCTGCGACAACGTGGAACAGGAACAGCTGAGTGCCGTGTTGCACGCCGGCTGGGCTCTGGAACAGCGCCACGGCGACGGCGACGAAGGTCTGTCAGTGGATGATATTCGTACGGTGCAGCGGCTGGTGGCGGACGTGGATCTGACCGCCGTTCATACTCCTTATGTCGAGCTGATTCATCGACTGCGACATGCGGGCATCATGGTGTCCGATCGGCGTGCGGTGAAATTTCAGCGACTGATTGCTGCCAGTGCGATTCTGTGCGGTCGGCTGCAGGCCGAAGTCACCGATCTGTGGGTGCTGCGAAACACCTGGGATACGGAGGAGCAGGAAGAGATTCTGCGCACGCTGGTTCAGCAGGTGATTGATGAGTCTGCGGAGGAGGAATCCGGTCCGCGGCATCCTCAGTCGCGGCTTAATACGGTTCCCGACGCAGAAGCCCTGGCCACAGATCTGCAGCGAATCACCGATCATGTGGAACGCGAGAATGAGCTGGCGGAATCGGAGCGTCGATATCTGCGTGATCGCCTGAGTCTGCTTGCAGGGCGCTGTGAGTGGGTATCGGACGAGGGTCGCAGAACACAGCTGCAGTCGATGGTGGACGGGCTGTGGAAGCAATTGGGAGTCGGGTGATGACCTGCATGTGGGCGGCCAGGATTCCTGTGCGCCAGTCTGCATCACTTGGGCTGCTGCGACTGGTTCCGGACCTGCAGGCAGCATTCACGGAGACGGCCGTCTGGATTCGTGGTCCTCAGTCCGAGGACGCAGTGGCACGGGTGCGTCTGATTCCTCACGCAGAGCTGTTTCACGTGGATGAAAATGGCGGACTGCGACCGTGGAGTGGGCTGCTGAAATCGGGAACCCTGCCAGACATCAGATTCAGGTCTCTTGCTGAGCAGACGCTGCCTCAGATTCCTCAGGCTCGCTGGCCGTCGGCTCATGTGTCGCGGATCCGTTTGACTCTGGTGCGCAGCGAGGATTCACGTCCGGCCACCATTCTGGAGACATCACTGTCTGAGTGGGCAGACTGGGCGCTGTCAGCTCCGCGGGTACGGCTGCGGCGTTGGACGTTTGCAGCGGCAGACAATGGCCGAGCACTGGTGCGTGGTGCTCCGCTGCCTCCGTTGCCCGGTCAGCAGTACTGGGAATCAGGTGACGTGGCGATTCCCGTTGGCTGGGAATGTTCCCCAAACATCAGTGGAGTCGTGCTGACAGACGTAGCGGCTCCGGAGCCTGGAGGACTGGTCCTGCTGTCGCCGGATGGTTCCGCAGATGCGATCCCCGCAACCGCATTTGCGGCGTCCACTCGATCTGCGCTGCGGGCGACTCTGGCGCAGGTATCTCAGACGATGTCCGAAACCGGCGGAGGTGATGTGGACGATGGATGAGCTGCAGAAATCCGTCCGCTATCTGCTGCCGCGGTTTCCGGCGTACAGGATCTGGCGGTGGGGCGACAAAGGTGACGTGATCGAATGGTGTTCCGGAGGAACCATTGCGTTTCGCGACCAGGTGCGTCGTGCGCTGACGGGATTTGAGGGTGGTAATCTGCCGCCAATCGAACTGATTGTGCTCGTGCTGGCGGCGACTCGTGATTCATGGCCGGAAGATCGGGAGCACCTGACAGAGAACGAACGCTACCGCGGCGACGTTCCGGATGCTGAATGGCGGGCCACACTGCAGTCACTGGACCAGGTTCATCGTCTGCCGCAGCAGATGCGCCGATCGTCCGAAGACATGGCGGCCATGATGGATTTTCTGTTTGAAGGCCATGCCTTTGAAGACATGGAGGCGGAACCGGTTCTGAAGCTGCTGGCTCAGCCAAAGTGGATGAATGAAGTGGCTGCGGTGAGCACCAGTTCTGTGTCCATGATGGTTCGATGCACACAGCTGAACTGGCTGACGCGTCGAGCCGGACAGCTGACGATTGAGCGGTTGCTGAATCGCATGTCCACCGGGCTGGATGAATTGCCAAAGGAGAGCGATGAGCAGGCCCTGGAGCCTGAGTCCGGCGAGCGCTCGGTGAGTCAGCTGCTGGAGGAGCTGCGAGATGACAATGACTATGCCGGACTGGTCCAGCTGGTACGCCAACTGTCCGCGGTGCTGACGCTGCCACGTCGCCTGTCGGAATCAGACGAGCTGCCGCAGGGAGGCGTCTCGGACCTCACCAACCGCGGCACACCGGATCAGCTGTTGCTGAGTGAACTGGCGCACGACGAAATGACGCTCACGGCCCGGATTGCGCTGAATGAAGCTTTGTATTTGCGCCGGGAGACACCACCAGCCAATCCTGTTCACGAACGGACACTGCTGATCGACGTGGGGATTCGAACGTGGGGACTGCCGAGACTAATGGCGGCCGCAGTAGCGCTGTCACTGGCGCGGGCGGAACGAGGCATGTCGGTGCGCGTCTTCCATACGGCGCCAGACCGACTGGCACCAGTGGATCTCACCACTCGGGCCGGACTGACCGAGCATTTGAAGACGCTGGATCATCAGCTGCATCCGGGGTCCCGACTGGAGGCCTGGCAGCAGGCAACGGCTGCGGAGAACGTGCAGCGCGTGCTGATCACGGAAGACAGTGTGACGGAAGACGCCGACTTTCGTCGCACCTTCGAACAGCTGGACCTGGTTCCGTGTTTTGTGATCTGTGTGAATCGAGCGGGTCGTGTGCGGCTGTTCGTGCGTACTCCAGCCGGGGAGAAACTGCAGCGGGAGATCCAGCTGGATGTGGATCAGGTGTCCGGTGCTGACCGGACAGACATCGACTCTCTGATTGATCCGTCGATTGACCCTCGGCTGCC